CGCCGGTGCACCCGAGCGGAGCAGCCAGTAACTGAGTAAGCAAGTATTTAAACTTGTACCTTTCCACGTCGCTTGACACCGCAATATTAGCGTAACACGTAACAGCATTATACAGCCATTACGGCATCACATTGTTCTACGTAGGCCGCATCGTGGTGTAAGATGGCGTGAGACACGCGCTCCTGCCTTCGCTCTGACTGACAAGCCCTAACTGGTGCAGCGCCCCCTTCGACCGGCCTCCACGCCCGCGAGTCCACTCTTACCTGGCAATCATATTTTTTTCTAAATCGACCAAAATCCAGAAATGCGCCCGGATTCGTTCCTCGCCCTGTTGCAGTAAGTCGTCTTCTGGCTTCCCCCTCGCGCACGCGTTATCGCTATCTCGTTCCGACCGCAAAATGAATCCCCGAAACGGTAATAAAAGTTCGGGAAGCGCGAGGACGACGAGGGAGTCGAGGACGATTCGTTTACCGAATACATTTTCCTGCGCTTGAAATGGCATTGGAGTTTGTTGCGCGCCACTTGCAGCAGCCCCTGACCCATTTCGGGATTCAAATTCCAACGCCGTGCTGCCACCCTTCAGCCGGCATAAATTCCGGCCACCGAGTCGCCCAGGCCGGAGGCGAAGGGGGGGGGGGGGGGGGGGGGGGGGGGGGGGGGGGGGGGGGGGGGGGGGGGGGGGGGGGGGGGGGGGGGGGGGGGGGGGGGGGGGGGGGGGGGGGGGGGGGGGGGGGGGGGGGGGGGGGGGGGGGGGGGGGGGGGGGGGGGGGGGGGGGGGGGGGGGGGGGGGGGGGGGGGGGGGGGGGGGGGGGGGGGGGGGGGGGGGGGGGGGGGGGGGGGGGGGGGGGGGGGGGGGGGGGGGGGGGGGGGGGGGGGGGGGGGGGGGGGGGGGGGGGGGGGGGGGGGGGGGGGGGGGGGGGGGGGGGGGGGGGGGGGGGGGGGGGGGGGGGGGGGGGGGGGGGGGGGGGGGGGGGGGGGGGGGGGGGGGGGGGGGGGGGGGGGGGGGGGGGGGGGGGGGGGGGGGGGGGGGGGGGGGGGGGGGGGGGGGGGGGGGGGGGGGGGGGGGGGGGGGGGGGGGGGGGGGGGGGGGGGGGGGGAAGGACGAGGGTGGCCTCCGCTGGAAAACGGTCCTCCTCGAGAAGAAGGGGGCTATTACTACTGCTGAACGGCAGAGTTACCTGATGCTGTTCCAGTAGGATCGATGTGTACGTGTTCCAGCAGCTATACCAGCACCGGAGAACCGCCCCATCGTTCGTCACTGGCTTCGCTGCCTTCGCTGCCTCCGCTGCCTCCGCTGCCTCAGAACGCCTCGAGCCATCCAATGATGTTATTACTACCGCTTTAACGAAGGGGTTGCTCCAACCCTCGCTCACCAACATTATTTAGGTTATCTGCAATCGTCGGATAATTCCGTTCGCCATCCCGACATGTCGGAACTTTCTCCGGCGTTACTGTCGGAGATGCTGCTCAGGCAAACCGCTGCTAGCGCAACTAATGTAGCATAAGAAAGCTAAAGCCGAGAACATCTGATATAGTATTTTCTTCTGAAGCTGATGCGACGTGGATCCCAAGCCAATCAAAACAGCAGCGCCTGCTAGTCTGCAGTCTCATCAGGCTCACCAGGCTCACCGTCTGCGGATGTCGCTTCAAATCGTGAGGCCTCTTCCTCCTCGTCCTGCTTTCTCCTTGTACGTCCTACTTAGCACGGAAAGGACGTTCATTGTATCAAGGACTTTATTCTCTTCGTTTTGGCATTACTTCCTTCGTCGCGTCTCATTCTCATTGCAATCTGCAATCACTGCTAGATCGAAAGTAGAAAGAAGAGTGTTGGTAGTTGGTCAAAGCCCAAAAGTCAAAGGCTGTCGCGGGAGCCTAGTGGTGACAGCAGCATACAAAGTATAGGACGAGGACAAACATCCAGACGTGTTCACTGAACTCGGATTCTTCGGAAAGTTAAGAAAATACCATGGAAGGAAAGCATTCGCCGATTGAAATGAATATTTTTAAGAAAAGTTCTCATGAATCGAAGGGTCTCGGAAAGGGCGCCATAGAAAATTTGCATGGAATTTGAGATGTGTTCCATTAAATCCGGAGTGACGGAGCAGCAAAATCGTAAAATGGTGCATAATAACGCATAATAACCATCGACGAGCGTCATCAAATATTTATGCAGTTTGACGCCGGCACCTCGAAAATGGGCCCAGCTAGCACTGGGTCTGTTTCATTCTGATTATCAGATTACTTAGAGGCGAAGTAATATTCTCACCTTTTAACGAATCGTGATATTCTGATTCCTCGTAGGCCACCCGAATAAACTTTTATTATTAATTTTCAAGAGCGAGCGACCAACCTACCCCTCTGTCGGCACGACAGCCTCTGAAATTTAATTCGACTTGAACCCCCTTAAACCTCACCCTACGCGGCCAGGTTTACGAGCCAAAATTTAGCTCGACAAGGTTTTTATTTCGCGATGAAAGCTCATAAAATGCGAACGTTAATGCGTCGAATCGCTTGAATTCACATTTTTCTTATTCTTCTGGTCCGCAGCACAAACCTTCGGCTCATGATTCAACTAAAATTAATATACTAACAGATTATATCGTAAACTCGAAATCTGTTCTATTAATTCGTAGCTCAGAGCCTAAATTCAAGTTAATACTTCACCTCCCCTGAGACGAGGCGAATAGGACATAAACTGACAACAGTGGCAATAAAGCCACAGGTCCATTTCGAAACTACTTGACCGAAGTTTGATGGCTACGGTGGTTATGGCGCTGGCGCTGGCCAGTGTTGCCGTAGTAGCCCGTAACGAAAGGCTCTATCGGTCGAGACCGAGCTGCTCCTAAAAACCGACTCGCAATTGGATGCCCAATGAGTTTCTAAATACCGGAATGACCGAACGGACATCAGTTGACGATAGATGCTAAGCTACGAGGAGATTTTCCTTTAACGTCTGCGGAGTCTGAGAAGGACTCCTTCGCAGTGCGATATGCCTACTGGAAGGACAAGTGCAGCAAATAAGGAAAAATCGATATGCCTTCAGGAAAGTTTCCTCGAATCGAGTTCCACTCCTGTGGAAGAAGGAAGAAAGAAACTATATTGCTACTATACCTATGTGTATATCTCTGACAGACAGCACGATCGAGGAGTAAATACAACTGCTGGCCGAAGGAACAGTCCGCGTCTCCCGAAGGGATTCTATATGCTACTCAAATTATTTCTGAGCCATAAGAGAGAAAGAGAGAAAGAGGGAGAGAGAGAGAGAGAGAGAGAGAGAGAGAGAGAGAGAGAGAGAGAGAGAGAGTCCATCGAAGCATCTACGATTGGCTTCTCGAAGATAATGAACGAAGCTACCAATACCAGACGTGCGCATCGCTCCACTCGTATTCTCCTCATGATCCAGTCGTCCCTCCGTCTCATTGCGCTCGATCCTAAAGAGTCAGACTCAGCCAGTCGAACTACAATGTACCGTTAAACCGCCTAATTAGTCTCTATTCCCGGATATTCTCTAAGGCTGGTTCTATCGATTTTATCAGGGAATCTGGCAGCTCTTAAACCCGGAACAATGGTAAGGAGAGCAAAGTATTTGATGCGCGTCCTGGACCAGACATGTATGCCCGTCGCGAATCCCTTGTCGCCCCTTAAAATTCTCATCTGTCGAATAAAAGTGTGCGCCTGCGTTGGTAAATGTAAATTTCCCGAGCGAATGGTCCGAGGAATAAGCCCTTTGTCCATGTGTCAAACTTCGAATCAGTCGAATTTAATGAACTAATAACTTTAGAGTATACTTGAGTATCCCCAGGGTACTGCTCCATTGGCTGCTCGTTTAACGGGCCGATTGCAATTTAATCCAGCATTGTTGCTGCCATCCTATTATGCCTGGAAATTATCCATTAGACAATTTCAGTGGAGGCATTGTTGCTGCTCGCCGAGCCTCTCGTCGAAAGAAAAAAATTAATCCTGGAATATCGAGGAGTGCATGTGATAGATCAATTTCCATCTCGCCTGCGTCGCCTATCTATAATGATCCTCGTGCTTTTCTCTATTTCAGGTGAAAGTGATGCTGCGCGTTTCATCAGGCGAGAGTGGAAGTTTCTTCAATGCTGACAAACGGAAGAAGCAGGTCACCCTGGTGGACCCAGCATCCGGTCAGTCGAATTCGGCGGAGGATCGCAGACCCACAGTGGCTGCGCCCAAGATGTTCGCATTCGACGCCATCTTCACGGAGGAGGATTCTCAGGTAATCACAAAAGGAAGCTGGTCTCAATTTCCCCAGGAATCAGCGAGGCCCGTTAGCTCCTTCCTGATTGAAGAAAGAGGCAGAGGGCCCACGCACACGTGTGCCAGTAGGGTATATGTATAGTATTCTAGAAAGCGGAAGTTGAAGCGGCTGACAATCAGCGGGGCTCATCCGTTCAGGCTCAGGCGTTCCTTGCGGAATCTTTGACGACGTCGCGCGGCCGCGTAAATATAAAGGCGGATCCTACTGGAGCGTCTAGCCTGAAACGGTACGTGCCCGGCCGACTTGGGTTCATCGTAGAAACGTAGAGAGTTAGAGACGCGTCCCTGCCAGGCGCATAACTAAACTAATTTCCCGACCTCTAACCCCAACCCGCGAAGTACCCAGAGCACGAGGACCCTCCAGGCGCACGATGCTCTCTAACCCCCCGACCTCAGTGCCCGGGACTCTCTTGCCACGTACGGCTGCCCTGACCTGACTTTTCTCACTTTTTCCGAGCTAAGACTCAGAACTCTGAGACCCGGAGACTCCTGGAGCCGCTCCAGAAACCCGCCGCGGGTTCGGGAACGAAAGATAAAAAATTCCATCAGGCTTCGAGGTATTTCGAAGTTCCCGAGGGACATTATTGAGCGCAGGATTCAAATGAGCCCGGAGCCATACCCGCGTTACCGTAGCGAAGACTCCGAGGATTCTCTGGGGAGCAGCCAGTCGTTCCTCTCGTTCCTCTCGTTCCTCTCCTCTCTCTCCTCTCTCTCCTCTCTCTCCTCTCTCTCTCCTCTCTCTCCTCTCTCTCCTTTCTCTCCACAGTCCCACAGTCCCAACCCATCCGTTGCCTCTCTCACTCTCGTCGTGTTTAGAAGAACCATGGAAAGCAATCGATTGATTCGATCAAATGTCTGCTACCGATTGTTATCAAACAGTACAATGGCCGTGCTCTTGAATGGAGTGCGCCTCCCCGTGCCTTCGGTAGTCGGTGGTTCGGTGCGACAGACTGGCAGGATGGGGCTGGGATTGATTCCGAGTCCTGCAGGACCGACGTAACCATGTCAAACGCAGATTCGTTATCGAACTTCCGTTTGAATTTTTAAGAGCCACTGCCCACCCTGCTTCTGTCTCGCAATTGGACCCTTATTCTTCTCACGTATCGGCATCCATCTACCATTGCCTCGGCCACTGCAGATATCCGGATGCGAATGGCTATGCTCAAAAAATCCTATCAGTTTGATCCCCTGCAAGAGCCTAATCTTCGCACACCCGGAATCGGTGCTCTGCTGGCTGTGCGTGCGCTGCGTCCAATGTGACGCATCCAGGCGCATCCAGGCGTGCCAACGTGTGGGATTCGAACTGTAGCCAGAGCTTTTAAGAGCCTTATCCTTGTAGCTTCAATTTGCTTAGAACTTATTCTTCCGATCTGCGCAGTGCAGCTCACCGCAGCAGGCAGCGTGCCAAGTATAACATATCCGGGGAGAAGAATCAGGCAGAAATGTCGGTTGGGTTTTAAGTGCAGTTACTTTGGCAGTCCTGTTATTCTTCTTCTTCTCTGTTTTCTTTCTCTATTGTGTTTTTCTTGCACTTCCTCCCTTTTGTTGAAACAGGCAGTAGCCACGCTGGACAGCAGAGCGAACGGTCGGCAGTCGCGCGAGTGACGATGAGAGCAGCGGACGAACAGGGTGGAGAGTGCGCAAGGGACGCACCTAAATTCGAAGAACGTGCAAACTCACAATCAGATAGACTTGCCGTTAGCGGAGTTACTGCGGGACTCGGTGTAACTATAAAAATGAGCAGCGTGCAAATGAATCCTCGTCGAATAAACCGAAAATCCATCTGAATTACTCGCTAATACATGTACAGGCGCCGCTATACGTGGAGGGTAAGCTAGGCGCATTTCGATGAAAGCACTGACAATTGACAATTCTATTCCGGCCGAAGGGCAGCAGGACAATGCGCCCTGCGAAGGATAATTCACTGAGGCCATTATGACCCGAGCGGAACAAGGGCTTTATTATTGACTTACGACTGATAGTCACGCTGTAGATTACGCCACGTGTATTCTAGATCTACAAGGTACCCCGCCTCCCGCGTCCCGATCTATTGCTCATTTGGCACGAAATGCTGATCGAACGAGCGACGCCCTGATCCGGATGCTGCCCGATAGCAGCCGCAGTGCTCGGCGCTCCATAGGCTGAGGAACCTCGTCCACCTGCACGAGTGACAGCATGACTTTCTGCCGTTATTGCATTTGGAGAGTTTCTCTCTGATCCTGAGGATTTTGGCCACAGTGCAGTACGTAGTGACGCATATACGTGGCGAGTGCCGATACTTGGACCGAGCCGGCTAGTCAAGCCGATCTCTAAACCAATCATACGGGTCTATGCCCGTTTCTGGTGTATTCCGGTGGGTGAATGACGCAACCCGAGCGATGCGCATTTCCATATTACAGAGGAATTAATCTGCGACGGCGCGCGCCGCGAGATCCGAATGCTGATGAAGCTTGACGGGTGGCAGATAACTGCCAAGGGGACGGACGTGAGGCTAATGGAAAATGGGTGCATCCAGTGACGGGGACGATTACTATATTACTATCTCGTCGGATTTTCGACGACGTCAAAGAGAATCGAAGAGAATCACCAGCCGCAGCAACAGCCGCGGCAACAGCAGCAGCAACAGCATCGTCGAGGCGATGACGATGCCAAGCTTGGTGGAAAGTTATGAGAGACGGGAGGAAGAACGAAAGGAAAGACGGAAGCAATGAGGAACGATGGAAAAAGTTGTAATCGAGAATCCGTGCGGAGAAGCACGTGGCAATGGCTGCCTCGTCCCTCGCATCTGTTTCCTGGAGTAATACCGGCGCGGCTGCCGATCATTAAAGACGTCCTCCGGTCTCCGCCTCTTTATTGGCCAGGGAAGTTTCTGCGGGGCTTCTCAAGTTTGGCAGATGGAACCCCAACGGGATGGAGAGGAAGACTGGAAAACCACCCTCCGTGTCGCAAGGAGGCGACCGATCCTCTATAGAGCACCCTCATCCATCCCCCACCTCGACTTCGAACCTCAAATATTTCGCCCGGATGGAAATACCTGCGTCTACGTATAGGCAGGTAATTTGGCGTCGGTGTCGACGCTCCTTTCGATTTTACATCGCTCAGCCTCCTCGTCCCCCACAGCAATCCCGCAGCCATTTCACGGATCGGATTTTCCAAATGCTTTTTTGATCCCGGTTGCGGGCCGGAGCGATAAAGAGGAAGAAGGGGGAGGGGGGACGTGAGCGACGAGTGGGGTGCCTGAGCAGGGGGGTGGGGGTGGGCACACTCGGTCCCTGGGCGCCAATGACGCCAATCTCGCGTGTAAATCGCGACATATTTCATGACACGTGGGGCGAGAGAAACTGCCGGCCCTCCCGCAGCAGCCCTTTCCGACGACCCCCCTTCAGGCAGGACCCGCTGATGCCAGTCAGGTCGCGAAAACACCCGAGGGATGGAAACTTTTCAAGTTGTTACCGCAAGGAGTTATCGAGATTTCAGGCCGCATCCGGATCGAACGATTTCTCGACTCGGCGGTGAAGTCACCTTTGCGTCTTAACGCGCTCATGGAAATCAGCAGATGGGCCACACGAGCGACCAGTGCTGGCTGCGGTTGCTCCAGAAGAATAAGTTATTCGCCCAGTGCAAAAACTCAAAAGCGCGGTGCGAGGCTCCGCGCGACCGGGGCATGCGCGATATCGTTGTCCCTGATTCCGATGACCCTCACGAAAATGCGAGACCCGATAACTGCAGGACTACGATAAAGTCCGTAACTTCTTTCTAGAGTTCTGAATTGTCTCCTCGCGTGGTTCTCCGGAGGCGGTGCCACCTGTTCCTTCCCGTGGATTACTTTGTCGGTAAAGAAGAGAGGGAAGAAGCAAAGGAAAGGAGCCCATGAAAGAGAACGGGGAATAAAAGTAGAAAAAGTAAAGAGGGCTGCGAACTGAGAAGAGCGGAGAATTAAGAAATTGGCGCCCCTGTCGAACAAGGTCATTCGATTATTTCCGACCATTAGAGAGAGCATCCCTTAGTCTCAGACTCTCACCCTCGACCTCAACCTGAACCCCCTTCGACTCACTCACTCCCAGTGGTGTTCCCGGATCTTCCGCTCTTCTTCTCGAACTTTCGACACGAGTTTTACATTTCGTACTGAGGACGCGTAGGTATATAGGTACTTCACCCTCCGTAGGTTAGAGCGGAGGATGTGGAAGGGAGCGAAAGGAAACTGGCTGGCCTTTCGAGGAAGGACGTCGCCGACGCCGAAGCCGACGCCGTCACCCATCTTGAGGACACGAAGGTTGCCCCGTACCCTCCTTCCCCAATGCCCCTCCCCCTTCTTCGTAGCTCTCTCCGAGTTTCCAACCCTCTATTGGTATTCCAGTGGGCTGCGCCAATATTGCGTTACGAAGACGCGTCCTGAAGCTCAATCCTCCTCCTTCCCACAGGACGAACCTTCGTAACTCATATCCGCGTTTCCCTTTTAATTTCGCCAGCAGTCCGACTGCTTCGATTCGCTTTTGCTTTTGTGTTTTCGTCCGGGCAGAACTCGCGATGAACCCCCATTAATATCTCCCAGAGTGAGTAACCATTCTGTCATTCCCTCCTAGACCTGAAGGTTCCGTCGGCGCCGGAAAGACACGGAAGCTCTCGACGGTGCAAGAAGTCCGCTGCTCATTATGCAGGCGCAGACTCCTGCAGTCCTGTAACACAATCCCTTTTGGTTCCTCGTTCTCGCTGGAGAGCTCAGTTTACGAATAAAGTGTTTTAGATTATGACAGAGGCTCCGGTCACGTATTTCATTAACCGACGGAAGCTCAAAGGGAGTTGCGAGGGCTGCGAGTCTTTCAGAGAGCGAGAGAGAGAGCGAGAGAGAGAGAGTAGCTACCTATGCGGAATCTGTTTGCTTCTCGTTATATCCTTCGATCCTGCTTTCCGGGGATCTGTTAATGTTGTTTTTGTTTATTGCTATTATGCCTCCTCCTCCTTCGAGTGAGAGCATAAACGTGAAAAAATGGGAAAGAATGAGAAAGAATGTGATGGGAGTCCTTAGGAAGGTAGAGAGCATCAGTCTCAGGTTGCCTGCAGATATCGAATGTCCCGGTCGATGCTTCGCTGGGAAATGACTGCAACGCTGCTCAGGATCAGGGAAATTATTTGCCGGCTGAAAGTATTGAAAGGACACGTAAAGCTAAAAAGCAACGAGTGAAGGGGGAGTATGTCTCTTGGTCCATGGTACCAACACCCTTTGAGATGCCAGCACCAGATTGGAATTTCCATATGAGAAAAAAGGAACTGGACTTATTCCTTCCATCTGCTTTACCTGCAGCCTCCCCTTTCGCCTCCTCTCGTTCGGTGCTCCCATCCTCATCCTCGCACTGGTACTCTCGCCACCGCAGCCTCCCTTCCCACCGTTCGACTTTCATCTCCCTTTTTCCCATTTTCGTCTTAGAATTCATCTGATCCGCATCCGCGTAGATTTCAATCTTGTTTGGTCCAAGTACACGCCATCTTCTTTCCCCTTATTTTGCCTCCTTTTATTCTTTTCGTCATTCTTTCGTTTTCTCTCGTATTTCCTTTCACGATCCAGCGAATCTTTAGCGAACAATATTCCGTCGCTCCAAGCTTCCTCCAAAAGCCTCCAAAGGCTTCTTCGAAAATTTGGCGAGCAGAATGCACTTGGGTTGGCAGCAATGATCCTGGCAGATCAGGCTAAAGAATGTAGAGAAAAGACTTGTTGTTCCCAGGCTATGAATATATTAGGCATAAAGAAGGAATCGTGGAACGCATAAGGGATGAGCATGTGTCTATTAAGATAAGTCCCATGTTTTCTTAAGACGTTGGCTGTCACATTACATTTTCCAAAAGTTCAGGCTGTCTTGTAATATGAAAAATTAATAGCACTTGACACCTGGACTCCCCGCACTGTATAAGGGAGTTAGGCGATACCATTTTAAAAGACTGTCAGGTCTATATTATAAGGTCTAGTATTAAGCTATATTTCCTGCTTGGCAATTAATATTATGTCCATTGTATTTATAAATTAAATTTGAATTCCAGACTGAAATCTGTTCGAGTGCACTGACCGACGTCATCCACGCTGTTATCAACGGTACCGACGGCTGCCTCTTCTGCTTCGGACACGCCGGTCTAGGTGAGTCGACAGCCCATTTTCTGCGCCTAGATTTACCACGGAGAAGCAAGGAAAGTTCAGGATAATTGAAAGAGCTGAGCTGCTTTTAACACTCGGGCTGTATGTTCGCTTACATAGAAACGCAGCTTTGCGCTTCTTGCGCTTCTTCTCCGCCGTAGAAGCATCGTGCTGCTTATAGGGTAGCTACGCGAGCTCAGATAATATTCTCAAAGGTTCATATCTTGATCCTGCGCTTTCACTCGCCAGGACGACAAGTTCGACGTCCTTCTCGAGAGCCCTCCGTTCCGGTGGCTTCTCCTCGTCTGCTCGATGATGTCCAATTCAACGTAGACGGGATAATCAGATAAATGAAAACTCCCCGAAAAAGCTTTCATCCACTTTGATTGGGAATCAATCAGTCCATCGATCAATCCTCGACAATCAAGGACCGCACTCGTTTCCGTCTCGCTACAGGTTGACCCAGCTGGAAATTCTCCCGTGAAAGGAACCACAGAACAATGCTGCTCCGCGGCGGAATTATCCTCATTGGAATTATCCTCTGCGTCGGATCGATGCCGCTGCTGCCGACTGCGGAATCTTATTGTCGATTTGTAATATCTTCCAGGAGGATAGCAACCTCCACCCGCGCAGCCTCACTCACCAGACGGCAAAGTAACTTCCTCCTTTAAGAAGGGAAGAATTCAAAGAGCTTTGTGTAACAAAAAATACACGATTTCTTCTATTCGTTTATGATAGCGAATGGCTGCGGACTTCCGATTGTTATTGTCAAATAGCCCTCAGGTCGGACGAGGAGCAAGCAAGGACCGCCAGAGAAAGACTCGAGAGCAGGACGACCGGTCGAGACATCGAGTTGCTTTACATTTTAAGTAGTGATATCGAGTTTGCATGCAAATGGATGATTATACCGTCGCGAGGGGTAGATCGAGACTAGAGGAATATGCTGCAGAGGGTGAAGCGTAGAGAGTGAAAGGTACAGGGGGCGCCTTGCGGGTGACTGTACATACGGGAAAAAGAGAGAAGAGAACGAGGAAGTAGAAAAGGTTGGAAATTAAAAGAAAACGAAGAAAGGGCTAAAGGGATGGGGAAAATATGTCAGTCATCCATCCTTATCACTATTTACTTCGATGATTTACTCTGCCATCCGAATGGTGGTTTTGTTTAAGGTGAACAAACGAAAATGGATTCTTATGCTTGATGTTGTCCACTAAATTCCTGCTATTTTATAAAACAAGGAATTTGAGAATTCCAGCTGGAACGTCTTGGCTATCAGTGTTGAATTTTAACGTTGCTGACAATTTCATGTAAATCGCACGATCTGACTACGGGGCGTTAGATAGTTACGGAACTGCACCCTTATTTTCTTACGGTAATTCTTATGTCAGCAGAACCATGCCGTCTCGCCATCTTACTTTTACATCAAGATACTCACTCACTCTCTCACACTCTTCTCCTAGAATGCATATTTCCTTCAAATTGATTCTTTTGCTTCTCATAATTTTTTAACATTTCTATTGACCCACCAGTTCCGATTTTAAAACTTCGCAGTGACACGTCAGACTGCTCCTGTAAGAATAACACACTCGAAAAAAACTTTTAAATTAGATCGGAGTCTGTATAAAGGCAGAAGGAGCGAGGCTCATGCGGGTCTCCCTGAAGAAAATTTGGAGGTCCGTCAACCCGAGAATCGCGTACTGCCTGTTTGTTTACCAAAGTAAATAATCAGACGTCTGAGGAAGGAAAAGGAGTACATATATGGAACTATCCTGATAGTGAAACGTGAGTTTGCCCCCGTAAAAGTAGTCTGTCAGACGGATGCTAAAAATACTCGTAGCAAAAGTTTTTTCAGGCAAAGATTAGATCAAGTAGTGGGATAATTAACTATTAAATAACGAGCCATTGAAACTGAATTGATCTCTCTCTCTCTCTCTCTCTGTCTCTCTCTCTCTGTGAACTAATAGATAATTCACTCCTTCCGATGCCAAGTCCGACTGCACGCTCAACCGCTCAAGTCTGATCAAAACTTTAAAAAACGAAGGAATAAGCGTGATGTAAACTCGTGTGGTTTTTTTCGGATAATTGAGAGCACGAGGGGGAGTGAGGAAAGAGCGGCTCCAGAACTGAGCCTGAAGATGGCGAAGTGTGCTGTGTAACGTAGACTGGCAAGTAATATCTTTGAGTGGCGTCCCCGTTGCAAGAGTCTTCTGTATACTGTATACAGCGGGGCTGAGCATATGGTCGATACCGACACTCATAAATAAAGGAAGACGTTGGTTTGACGTGGGCTGGATGTTTTTCCAAAAGCTCTGTTTTCACGACTGGGCAAACGCAACCGAATCCACCTATGGGAGTTGCTGCATCTCCGTTTGGAGGGATCGGTAGGAAATTGCCACAGGCCCATTGCTAGCCAGAAATATAAAAGATTATTTTTCTTAGAAGCGGCGGCTGCAGCGCGTTCTCAGGCTTTTCCAGTTTTCTAATTAAATAATAACACAATTTACGGTCTTACATTAAGACAATTAAATATCGCTTAAGATTCAGCAGTGGCAGCGTTTTCATTATTTTACTACACCCGCTTCCAATCTCCTCTCCTCTTCTCTCCTTTGTCCACCGTCGACACCGACGATTCCGTTTCCTTCCGTTTTATTCCGTCTTCTCCGATCTCCACTTCTTCCTCCTCCTCCTCCTCCCTTCTGTTTTATGATTTTAATAAGAGCTGAGCTCCTTTATTTTCTCATCGATAAAACATTCCTGCTCTTTTCCCGCATCTCGTTACAATGTCTCCCTGGTCTCCATAGTCTCTGCCGCCGGTTTTCCTTCCGTTGCCGTTTCAACCAACACTAATGACGTTTTGTTTTGCTAGTATATCTAATGGCGACGCAGCCAAGGCGCCTCTCCTCGTTCTGCAAGTTTAGAGAGCCTATCGCTAATCTTCCCAATTCCGTTTCGCTGTTGAGCCTTAACGAATGCCGGATAACGTGGCTAGGGTGCCGTAGTGCCGTAGTGCCGTCGGAGTGGCGAAGGGGTAGAGTCGAAGTAGCGCAAATGATAAGGGAGATGGAATCGAGTCGGATTATCGTAGAGCTTATCTGAGGAGCCTGAAGGCAATGTTCCCATAAATCCCTGCAGGAAGTGAACCCGTACTGGTAGGACTTCTCGATTCCATCGTAGTAAGTGTTCCTACAATTAGCGAGGGGTTTATTAAGCAGCCCTTCGTTAATAAGCTAATTAACTCCTCAAAGACAGGCTTGCTAGTTGCCGGGGAGTGAAAGACCGAATGAGTGATTGCCTAGCGGGAAGGCAGTGGCATTTTCATTGGTCCAAAATACGGCAATCTTCTGAACACACGAGTTTAAGTAATTTAACGTATTTTAATGGAATTTCAGGGTAGCAACTCTTTCTGCAAAACAGGCTCGTTTCAGTGCTCAATAAATTGATTCGAAGGGGCCACAGCGATATTATTACGGCCATTGCGCTTCGTCCGTATAGCGATTCTAGATGTCGTGCGAGGGGGGTGCGAGGGGTCCCTGCACGACTAGTAAATTCAGCAATATCATGGAGTTAAAACCCCTGAGTGACCAACTCATCCCTCGAATTCCCAAAGGAATTAATCGTGCCAAAGCGGCGGCCACTCCCACAAATCAAATATCCCAATTATTGCTAGGACAAAACAGTTGACAGTGTTATCCGCTGTTATGTCCAACACCTACTATACTGTCAGCATTAGCTGCACGCGCGAGCTCAGCGACTCCAGAGCATCCGGCAAATTGCTTCGACACGATTGCGCTCCCGGGAAAAGGATAATTATCTGAATTCTCTGTGCACCGGAGTCGCACGCTGCCCGCTGTAACTGCAACCATTCAGGGGGGTGCGAGGGGGGTGCGAGGGGGGTGCGAGGGGTCCCTGCACGACTAGTAAATTCAGCAATATCATGGAGTTAAAACCCCTGAGTGACCAACTCATCCCTCGAATTCCCAAAGGAATTAATCGTGCCAAAGCGGCGGCCACTCCCACAAATCAAATATCCCAATTATTGCTAGGACAAAACAGTTGACAGTGTTATCCGCTGTTATGTCCAACACCTACTATACTGTCAGCATTAGCTGCACGCGCGAGCTCAGCGACTCCAGAGCATCCGGCAAATTGCTTCGACACGATTGCGCTCCCGGGAAAAGGATAATTATCTGAATTCTCTGTGCACCGGAGTCGCACGCTGCCCGCTGTAACTGCAACCATTCATGCTACTCGTTATAAATTCTGCATTCGCAATTCTCATTGTTGCAGGCAAGTCGCACACGATGCTGGGCACCGCCGAAGCCGGACACACCCTCGGCGCCATCCCCTGCGCCATCGCCTGGCTCTTCCGAGGGATTTCCGAGCAGCGACAGAGAACCGGCGCTAGATTTAGCGTGAGGGTCAGCTGCGTCGAATTGACTGCGGGTCAGCAGCAGCTTCGTGACCTCCTGGCCGCACATGCCAACGGTGAGTAACATGTGCCTGCCAATATTTTCTCATGCGGTGCTTGGAGCAAATATATTTCTTTTGAAGCATCATTCACGGGTTCACGTAAGACTCGGCTCCTGTCCAGATTATTCAGAGAAAATCATGAATTTTCCTGCATAGAGATTTTCTTTTGAAGAAACTCTTTAGTCGACACAGACAGAAAAAGAGAAAGAACTTTCTCATCGCGAAGCTCGAGAAATTCTAATCGTTTGGCGTTCTTCTCGGATCAGATCAGTTGCCGTGCGAAGAACTTTGCAATCGCAACGCCATCGGAGAGCCAAGTAACTTGGCAACTCCAACCTCCCCCCGACAAAGGGCTAACACTTGCCGCAATTAATTCCAAGCTTCAAATAATACCAGCTGGCATAATCACTCAGATTAATTGAAGCCGAGAGTTATGCGTCGGCGATAGGGTCTGCGCTCCAGTCCTCCAGTCCTCCAGTCCTCCAGTCCTCCAGTCTTAACTCTGCGAGCGGGAAACTTAACCCTCGTACTCCTTTCTCACGCGCACCATCCTCCTCGGCTTATGGGCTTAATCGTTTCCGGCTTCGTAGCTCAGCAACTTCCGCCTTTCCTCGGGAGAAGGCTCGATGCTCACTTCTCGTTCTACCTTTTGTTCGAATCTTCGACGCGCATGGGACTAACGATTTTCGCGAAAACTCTCATTGTCGAGAAATTAAATATAGGAAAAACGTTTTTTATTTTCGAAGATCGAGTTCTCGAATCTGCCGCGGTGAGATAGTCGCGACGTACCGAATTCCCCGGCTGAGGAGAGTACCCGACGGAGACGTCTCCACGGAGTGGCAAAAGTCCGGGTGAGATACCGGCGCCCCGCTGGAGACGGGCAAAGGGCAAACCTCCTGCCCGAGTTAAGGATGCGATGTCCAGCTGTCGCCCGATGCCCTGGGGAAGCGGCCGTGGAGGATCTCCAAAAGTGTTACGTAGCGATTCGCTAAGGAACGCTCTCAATTTAGTTTAAAGGGACGACTCGAGGGAGATGGAAGAGTTATCGGCTATAAGGATTTCGACCAATCAGAATGATTGGTTCTCGAATTTGTCTATTGTCAAGGCAGTCTGTCTCGGGGCACCGACCGAGGTGTCACGAGCTGTCTCGCGCTCCCGTCCTATCTGTTGTTAGTTTTTATAGCTGTGTTTCGCTACGGTATAGAAAGTTCTCGCTCGCGTAGTTCTCTCGCGATATCCCGGAAATTCTATGGGTTTCCCGTGCGTGTTCCGGAGGTGCAGTGTTGTGACCTAGTGCAGTGCCCACCCGAGTGTCCTCTGGATACGGTTCTCGACCTTCTCGGATTAGCTGCACCAGCTCCGGTGAGTACTCCCAATTTATTAATTGGTGAAGGGATTTCGATTTGACAGTTCAGATTCGTTCCGTTACATTCTCGATCCGTTGCTCTCTGTATCGCGCACTATTTGCCTGACGCTTACTCCGACCCTCTCTAGCTCAACCCAGAGAAAGAGAAGAAACGTGGGCATAAGTTAAGTTAGCCTAGCGCAGCCAACCAGGCAGGGAGGGACACGTAGAGGTAGGCACTCCTGCATAAAAGTCCTATTGGCCGGGATTTAGTTATATTTCTCTATGGCAGCCATCTGCTACAAGAGAAAAGTATCTTTTATGGGCGATCGAGCAAAACGAATGGAGCTTCCCCTTATGCGGTGGTCGACGAAATTCTGCAACATCGACATGCAAATGCGGCTCAAGGACCGTCGAACGACCTGCGCCATTCTTTCCTTTTTCCTCCCTTCCATCCTCTCTCTCTCTCTCTCTTTCTTTTTTCTCTCTTTCCCTCTTCCTTGTACCTTCTTCTTCGAGAACCAAAGGGCCATTCGCCCATCGATTTCACCCTTCGGTTTCACCCCCTTCTATTTCCGTACGTCTTATTTGTTTCGACTGTCACCCTCGATCGGTCCGCCATCAATTTTTGTTCGTATCACCCCCTATAAGCGCACTCGATAGCTCAGTATAAAGCACACAGTGCTGGAATCGGAGGAGCCGAAATAACGCTTTGGTCAAATGACTTGTCAAAGTTCCAGCCGTTTGAAGGGTGGGTGAAGGAGTGCGCTGTGGAACGCTGTGGAACGCCTTGGAACACATTAGGTACCAGCCTCCTTCCGTTCTCCCGAGAATGGAGCGACTAATTAAAGAGCAATGCAATTAATTTTCCAGGTTATTAAATAATTAACTGCTATCTCGGGAGCCATCTCTATCGCTGCCAAGTCGAATAGCGCTTCTTGCTCTTAGTCCGACATGTTTCTTTGGCTGAGTGGATTTAAGTTAGGCTTTAGTTTTCTTCAAGAAACTTGATGATCCTGGACCCTTTAGCTAATTATTTGAGTTTTTCTTGCAAACTGCTAAAAGAGTCAAAGGTGTGGGGGCGGGCGGTGGGGTCCGAGAAATCACAGCCAATCAGCCTCCCGAGCTGCCTGTTGTTTTCCCATAAGATTCTAATGCTCGGGCCTGGAGCATTAGGAATAGCCCCGGTATCCCGGCCGACGTCCTCGACATCTGATCAGGATATGCTAAATGTATGTACAGGATGTCGATATCCTTTAACGTTCCTAAGTGATATCCCAGGCGATTCTCATGGGAAACGTAAGAGTCGGGGAGTCTCGTATATCCGTCATTGTCAGTCGCTGCAGAAGTCCGGAGTTCTCAGCCCGCACTTCGGCTACACCCGTTACAGTTTTACGCGCCTGTTCCATCGGCGAAACAGGAGAATACCAGGAGAGACGTCGGGCACCGACGCCCTGCGTACAGGGGATACGCGCGTTTGCGCGTATCTCGATATTCCGTCGACGCCGCTAATAAAATAAGAAACGTCTGCCTGCATGGGAAGGAAAAAAGCATTAAAATGGCCACTAAGGTATTTTATTCGCGACTCGAGGACATTATTCTGCACTAAGTGTAGGAGTATATGACATGTAATAAAGGCCTTAGTGTTCCTGATACGGTTCCCAGAATCTGCACTCGAGGAAAGTCCGTGAAGCCTGCTTGAGCAGGGAAGAGGAGGGAAGAGGAGGGAAGAGGAGGGAGGAGCAGGGAGGAGCAGGGAGGAGCCCTCCGCCGAAAATCCGAGTCGTAAAAGGGCTTTTCTTTAATTGCTCCAGCTAAGTGGATCTCCCGTTCGCTCGTAAAAGTTAAAGCGCTTGGGAAATGTCTCAGGCGAGGCTGCCTGTTTCCTTGCTGCATCGAAGACACAAGAATATGGTATAGAGGATGGCAAAGGAGACGAAAGTAAGTAAAGAAGATGAGAAAGAGGAAAAAGTGCAGAAGCCAAGTCAGCTCCAGTTTATAGCTACGGAATAAATTAGAAATATTAAATTAAACGCAGTTCAGATTAAAACTGGGACGTATAAATAAAGTTAGCGGGTAAATGAGAGCATTCCTCGGCGTGTTCCGCGAAGTGATTTATAAAATAGTTTATGCAGTCGAAGGCAACCGAGCCCAGAATTCATGACGGCCTATTACGAATACTTTCGCCTGACCCCTGGAACTCCACCCTCTGTGTTCTTCGAGGATCCTCGAGGTCGGTAGCTGGCGCGCCAGGAGAATTCCGGTGGAGACGGCGCTCATTTCACCCGACGCAGAGCCGCCGCACGAAGGAGGAACGACGCTTCGCGTCCTTTCGCTGCGGGCGACTGCCTTCGTATCCAAACGGCGTTTGGTGTCGCCTCACGGGCCGGGATTACATAAGATTCGGCAAGATGACGAAGCGCTCATGGAAAGAGGCTGCCTTCTTCTTCTCGTCTTCAGGCTCATCCAGTTGAAGCTCGCTAGTTCGATCCTACGGCTATCGCGCTGTCCTTTCGATTGAGCATCATTCCGTAATATTGAAGTAAATCCGGTCCGCGCGTTTGAACTGCAAAGAGCCACGTATATCCTCGAAGAAAGGTACGAAGGTGCTTTTTTTATTTTTCGAGTCGCCTACAACGCCGCGCAGATGCCGGAGATGCCGGGAATATTACTTCCGCTGGTCCCTTTTATGGATATTGCCAGACGGCTTCGGCCTCGAGTTCTCCGACAGCGCACGAATCCCTCGATTCCCGTAGACGCGCTGTCAGTGGTGCCACCATTAGTGCCACCCCCGACGCTCAGCCAGCGAACGCAAAACTATGAGCTACTCGCAAAAATATCAGCTCGCTCGTTCCTCCTCCTTTCCCCGTCGCCTCGGTCCTTTAGCAGCGACCCGACGGCTGGAGGATGGAGGAGAGAGCCTTTGATTTCCTAGCTCGGTCCTAGCACCCCGTGGCGTCACATTATTCCCCCTTTCTATTTCTATCGCGTTAACGTCAAGCCGGAAACTAACGCCGTCGGAATTTTAATGAATCCTTTGAGCCAGGTCGGGCTTCGGGGATGGACGATTACTCCAGCAATTTTTCATTCTATTAGCGGATCACTGACAGAAGATCCTTTCGCGAGAATCAATATTATTCTTCTCTTAACAGCCTCTTCCTTCGCAACGTCCTTCCTCGATTCCTTTGATTCTTCTGGCTTAGTGGACGTCGTCCTGCCGGATTCATGCTAGAACGACACTGTAATCGTGGACACTCTGAGAGAATGAACAGGTTCCTCTGGCACTAAAAAGCTAATTGGCAACTTACGAAGGAGGTTACGACATCTAAATACCGTAAAAGTTAAGGCACTTTACGCTGGAAGCTACTGCATACGGGCTCCGTGAAAACGAGCGAACGTTATCGAGTATACGATACTGGAAATAAAACATTTATTCGCCTGTAGGGTGAAGGAGGATGCCAAGAAGCACCTACGTGCAGCTGCTACAGTGTCTCCTCCTGTACAACCTCTCTATGTCCTGTATCTCCCTCCACCTTCTTTCACCTTTTTTCACCTCCATTCACCTCCATTCACCTCCATTCACCTCCTTTCCCCCCCTTTCACGTTTAGCAGTCGGCTTTTACGAGGCCATATCGACCGACTCGCCTCACCATTAAGTATCGACGTCGAAGAAACGCCTCCGCAACTATCGAATGTAAATGCTGCTTCATATCGCGCTTACGATCGACACCCCGTAACAACGTCTTTAGTCCGATCGCTATTTACAAGGTAGCGATAAAGCCATTCGGCGATGATTACCTGCTTGCTCGACTATCGACTATCGACTATCGACTATCGACTATCGCACTCGCCTTATCTTTCTGCGCTTGATTGCAATCGTACTCTCAACCGATTCTACCTCGAAGCGCCATCCTGACTCGTGCGCGTCGCCTTTCTCAAGCGTTACTGAAAGACTCTTGGCACCTTTCAGACTCCGAACAATCGCCAGCCGTCTACCTCAGGGACGACCCTCTCTTCGGCACCCTGCAGCTGCAGCAGCACAGCGAGCTGAGGGCGCCGACGGCCGAGCGTGCCGCCTTCTACCTCGACGCCGCCGTCGCCGGTCGACAGCGCGAAGACGGCGACGCTCACATGCTCTACACGCTCCACGTTTACCAGTACAGCGTGGCCGGCAAAGGAGGAGGTACGTTTCTCGCGATTCAACCTTATCAGGCCCGTCGGGTATTTGGGTATTTCGACTATGCGGGATACGCATTCTCGAGCTTGCAAGAATTTTTTCGTTAAAGTCGCCGGTGGCAGGAGCAGACTCCATCTCATGGACCTGGGCAATTCCGATCGCGGAAAATCATCAGGTGGAATCCCTCTCTCAGGATTGGGCAATATCCTTCTGGCGATCTTCAATGGGCAGAAGCATCTCCCCTACAAGGAGCACAAACTTACGCAACTACTTAAGGAGTGTCTGGGCTCGCTTACGTGTCACGCCGCTATGATCGCGCACGTATCTCCAAATGCACAGCATTATACGGAAACACTGACGACGGTCCAGCTGGCGTCCAGAATCCACCGGATGCGCCGTCGGAAAATAAAATTCGTCAACGGTGGTACTCAGGGAACCGGAAGTGGCGGGAGTTCCGGGGAGGAAGCCGCCAGACAAAACAGCGAATGTGATCCCAGCTCTTCGGATCTCTCAGCTGACACTGTGATCTACGTAGGTCCTGGTGTCGACGACGCCACGGATGGCGAGCATCCTCCCGTCTATATACCCAGTCTGAACTCGGGAGACAATCGATGCGCGATGGGCCGCGTTCTGAGAGGCTCGGCGGCCGAGAGGCCCGCCAGAATTCCAGAAGAACGAAGTCCGGCCCACAAAGCCACGAAGCTCGTGAAGGCCCTGACGCAGACGGCCTCGAAGCAGACATCGCCTGCTCACAGCGCCACTCCCAAGGCCAGTCCAGCTCGGAAAACTTCGGTCAAGGTCTCCACGTCCAAGTTGAACGACTCGCCGACAAGCAAGATACCTGTGGCAGCACCTAGTGGCGGATCGGACGAGCAATGGATTGATGGCCCAAGAATTTCAAAGTCCAAAGTAGCAGAGGCTCGGCACCTCCTTAAAGATTCGCATCATCATAAACGCGAGACATGGATTGATGGGCCCATGCAGATGGCCGGCGGCCCTCTGCCGCTTCACGCGCAGCACACATCAGGATATGGATTTATGGACAGTCATAAGAAGAGCATGATCAGGAAATGGGTGGAGAATCAGTCCTCGCAAATTCAGCGCACCAAGCACGTTGCCCCCAGAATAGATCCGAAACTTGCAGTCCAATCTTCGCAGTTCAAGGAGCTGACGACCTTCAAAACCTGCGACGACGACGACGACATGTCCTCCGCGGTCGACAGCGAGGGTATGAAGATGAGCGACATCGAGGACATCACGGAAAAACTGGGCGCCAAGCTGAACCTTCTTAACGTCAAGTCCAACACGGATTCCGGACTGGATCTTACAGCTAGTCCTATAATGGAGGATAGTCTGGATAGGTCCAAATTGGATATTCCGGACGATGAAGATGACGACGAGGAGATCGTGGTGCCCCCTCCATTGCCTCTTATCGAACCTCTGAGCAACGGAGTCAGCAGAGAAGTCTCGATGGAGAGTCTTAATCTCTCGCATAAGGACGTCGTCCTGCCGTCCCGTCATTCTCTCTCCTCCGAGGACGAGATCCTGGAGATCGTCGAGGTCGAGGATTTGGAACCTGTTCCCACGCAGGATTCCTGTCTCCAAGTGACTGAGGAGGACATTGCTCTGTGCATGGGAGAGAATCCTCTCCCGGAAAGTGACCAAGAGGAACACCCGCTGAGGATACTGAGTCAAGAAAATCTTACCATTGTATCCACCTTCACTGGTAAGTCCACTGGGATCCTCTTTACAACTTTCTCAACCCATAGACCGTAACAAGGATAACAGGACTCGCCTTTAAAGAATCCTGCGAGGAGAGAAGTGGTTCTCTTCGGAGAAACCAGAAGATCCTCTTACGTTATCTATTATTAGCTATCATTGAAAACTCTAGTAATCATAGGCGAGTTAACTGTAATTGCTTTTCGACAGCCTCTCGAGATAAGAAAGAGATGGTCGAGAACCCTATATTTGAGCAGCAGCTTAAGCTATCAAGCCCCTCTCCATCATCTCCTAATACTCCCCTTTTTTACTCTTAAACAATGGCGAGAGAGAAGAAAATTGAAAATTTCCAGACTCGATGTCAGTGATGTCGGACAGCGAACGCTACAGACCTCAATACCCGCCGCCCGTGGGGGCGGGCATGCTTCCTCGACCATACTTTGACCACGAGGACTTCCTGGAACAGGAAACCAGACACAAGTTCGATCAATTGGCTCGTCTCCACGAACTTTATCAGAGCAAACTTGCCCTCGCCAACGTCTCCAATTCAGCAACTTATCAGAGAGAGAACTCGTCCTCCGTGAGCGTTCGGGACGCTCCATGTAAGTTCGAATCCTAATACGGAGCCAATTGTTGGATCCTGCCGATGCCTCTTCCTCCCTAAACGTATCACACTAATAAAACCAATACGCGATCCAACAAAAATAACAGTTTTAAATGTTCAGCTGGCTACAGCATGTATAACATTAACGCAGGACATATTCCAGCCGCCACCGTCTTCCGTCCACCGTCTCGCTGTCAGTCCTTGTCCCTTTCGGATGTCTTCTTCAACGACAACGCCAGCAACCATGGTAGTATCTACAGCGAGCCTGCCTACATCCCAGGCAAAACCGAGCAGGAGAAAATCTGCGACAACTGCAGGCAGAGTATGTCGCGACCCGCGACCACGTCCTACTGGTATCCAAGCAGTGGAGGACACCTCGCGAGTCCCAAAAGATACTGCGGCAAGTTCGGCGAGTGCAATATATCTAGTCTCAGGCATCCAGATGGCGCTTCGAATCCTAATCTCAAGGAGGAAATTGAGAGGATACCAGGAAACGGAGCCTCGGGTTCTGATCCCGAGGAAGAGTACATCGAGGCCAAGAAGCTCTTCACTACTGCCGAGAGATCCGAGAGAACGGTCACTGGGAAATCGGACGTCGAAGAAGACCTTAAGCTTCCAGGTAAGCAGACTGACAGTCAACCGGCGTCTGAAGTTCAAAATGCAAACCTCGCGAGAATGAAGCATCTGGAGGTCCCTTGTGTCTTTGCGTTGCAGTACCGGTGCCCCTGCAATTGTCCATAGCGTCCTCTGTACCATCTTCAGGGAAAATGCAACGGAAGATCCTGAGCTTGGGCTCATCTCTGGGATTAAATAAAGAGGGTTATGACTCAGGGGCTGATTCTACTCCGAGGGCTGCTAAACTCTCTCCGGCTACCCTTTCGAGGCATCGAGCCGAAAGCTCGGGTTACGACAGCGTCGTACGGGACAGTGAAAGCAGTAGCATCGCTAGCGACTCCTCGAGGCAGACCAGCGCTCTTCAGGAACACCAAGGTACGCCTTCCTATTCGTATAGTTTACTCCCTGCTCCGTCACGAGGAGCAACTCCTGCTGTTGGACCTATTAATAATCCCTGGTTTATTGACTTTGGCCACGCTCAGAAAAATAGACTCTGGAGAAATAACGTCTAGGACATTAGCACGAAAGCATAATTTTTCACAACCTTTCACTTTTCAATAGCGTATCATTAATCAGCTCTCGTTCCTATCTCTCTCTCTCTCTCTCTCTCTCTCTCTCTCTCTCTCTCTCGCGCGCGTATTCTTTCTGGAAGTTCCTCTACTCACCCTCGAAAGCTCAAATTTGCTTGACTAATCTGCTTAAGAAATGCTAAAGTAGTTCCCACGTACGGTGGTTCTTCTCAGGTGGCGCGCTGGGAGTTCTAACCTCGACGTTGTGCGGGTGTTTCAGCGGTGGGACGGCTGGTGGCAGGGTACGGGCCCCGGGCCCAGTCCCAGCCAACCCACGAGGGGATTCTCACGTACTCAGGCGAGGACGTGGCCATTCTGGAGCGGCGCGCGCGAGTACGCTCGGAGCCCCGTGGGACGATGTCCAGGATACACAGCCTGCGGCTGCGCCAGCGCCTTCTTAGGCAGGAGCTACGCGAGGCAAAGAAGCGCCTCATGGTTTCGGATGATCGATGGAGTTTTGAACGTGAGTGCACCTCTGCCGCTCTCTCAATCCTAATTCAATCGTGTCCGGCGAAGTCGGAAAAGGCTAACGCGATTCGTTTCTGATGAACAGTACACGTCGAGGACAGCATGGACTGGCAGGATCCGTCATTCCTGGAAGCCCTGGAGGCAGAGACTTTCATCCTCCAGAAGAGAGTCGAAGCCTGCAAGAGTCACGTCCTCCTGGTTACGTGCTTCGACACTTGTCCCCTGCAGCAACGTCGCCACATCGAGCCACCGCCCGGCATCAGAATCACCTAACATAGATTCGGATCAGTACGCTTTACCACGTGCTGATCAGAAACCCAGCTAACTACTCCACGACCACAACCTCACCATCATCCCCATCCCCATCCGCATCTGCATCCGCAATCCCACTCAACCTTGTGCCTAACTCGTATTCACGATGCATCGCACCGTCCGACTCGTTAGCTAATAACTTCATCGGACATCGCACATTCTCACCGTCATCGCTATTCGGCGTAGTATCATTCGCACGATCGAATGACAAGCTAAAGAGAAAATTATAAAAGACACGTCTCCTTCGATCGAGACTGTGGCAGGCACCAGCTTAGTTAGTATTGCACGGGTTAAAAAATTGGAGAGCCAAGCGAACATCAAAGACATTTACACATTGAGCAAGTGCGAGTGACGCAACATGACAGTTTTCTGATGTCAAGACGTTACGGCGTTTTCATTCTGTGTTCGTATTAAATGAAAATATATATATATAAATTCCCGTGCATAATCCGAATGTCAAGCTCGCTGGAGAAGAATAAATGCAAAAATACGACATCGCCGCGGTACGATAAATATCTTAAGAAACAGCGCACACGCGAGCTGTCGTCCCGCTGAGGAACAATCTGCCAAAACCGTTATACGATTATCAATTAATTAAAAAAGAAGGCCGTAATTAATATATAATGCACGCACGTTAATTCAATATTATCGTAGTTTTAATTATTATACGCAGTTACCGCACTTCGTAGGATTCATAACACTCACGTAGGGATGCAAGCTCACGAAAAGTAACTTAAACGTATTTCGTAATCTTAAATGATAAAGCATGCGAGCAACCGCATTGGAAGGGAGGAGAGCCTAGTTGTGATAAAAAAAAAAGAGAGCTGCCACGAGTGCAGACACAGATAGAGAGGGAGAGTAGGCGAAGCGAAATGAACAAATCTTGGCGAATGAGAACAACGGAGAAGAAATTGGTCGAACAGGAATAAGTTAAAGGAAGATTGGGAGATAAATACATAGAGGGACAGAGAGAAGGATAAAGAGGGAAAAAGTAAAATAAACGCAACGAGAAGTCTATCTTTCGAATTTCCCTATCGTTGCGAGGCAACCATTCTCTTTCTCCTCTGAACTCTACTTTGGGCTTCCCTTCAACCGATTCATGTGAACCCGTCGAGAGGTCTTACTTCCGCTTGATCCGGATACGGATGATCAGATGCCTTCCGTTTATTTGGAGACTCCCAGCGAATCGTCAACGGTTACCCGAAGCACACTACCTATACGTATCCCTGTGGTTGCCGCCACATTCACTCGGTTGCAATCCTTACCTAGGAATCCTAGGATTTACGAAGCAATGCGAAAAAAGGCGTACGCACGTACACGCGAGGCGCACGCATATTCAATTGGCACGTTCGCACTCACATACAGACAAATTCATAATCATAGACACAAGATAAATCCATCTGTCATGTATTCTTCTACATCCCACTACGTCTCTGTATCATAGTACTTGTACCATACGCATATTTTATATGTACAAATTAGCCATGTAATTTCTTGTAATAAAGATCAATTTACAACGTGAGCCAACTAATTTTCTCGCCGTTCCAACTAACCTCAGGTGGTTCGCCGACGAGACAGCGTCGTGAATTCTCCAAGAGCGAGCGTCAACCGCATAATATTTCGTCATCTAGACTGCAACGCAATAGAGATCACTAATGTAGGTCCACCTCCATTCATCGTTTGACAAGCGACGTTGAACGTCTGTCAAGCGATACCCACAACTCCTAAGTTGACGATCCACCGACTCACGTGGAATTTCACACACAATTTCATGTGTGTGGCGAAGTTGTGGGCGAAACAATATTATTAGAGCCATCATAGAATTGTAGAATTGAGATTTGCTCGTCGTGCGATTGATTCAGCAATGTCAGATCACTAAAATCATTATAAAAATCAATTGCTAAGACAATGCTTTCAAATTTTGACAAATGCAAGTTCAATGACCCATTATCCTATATCGCCTTTACTCCTATTCTGCTACGTGGAAGTCCAACGTGTCTACTCGGTAACGACACATTTCGGCAAGAATTCAGTCAGTCAAATACATATACAATTTACGTGATTCTATAACTCTTTGGCTGCGTTCAATCGCTTAAATAGTTTAACTTTTACAGAGGGTTAAAGGTAACTCTGGCAACGTGTAATAAAATACTTTGGTAATTACGGCATCAAAGAAAGATAGTTTTTCATAATGTCTTGACGTCCGAACGTCAGTTTCGCAAATGTCAAAGACCCATCGCAGCCCGAAACAAGAGAGGTAAATAGTAAACCGCGGAGCAATTTGGTAAAAACGACTTGCGACTCCTTTTTTTTTCTTTCCCGTGAAACCGAGAAAGTCGCATTCATATGGTGGGGAGAGAAGTTGACTCCCTCGGAGTTTATCAAAGCCAAGTGTAGCCAAGTGTATTCGAGTGCGTGTCCCAGTCTAACTATAGTCAATTAGTCAGTAAGCGAGTGGTGGCGATCAGTCGCGTTAAGACACTTCGAGAGGATGGTTGTTCGCCGCGCGTGCTTCGTCGGGGCCCTTCTGCTGGCCCTCGTGCTCTTGGCAATCAAAGGGACCCAAGTGGACGCCCTCAGCAAGGACCAACTCTATCCTTACAACCTGCCCGGAGGCGCTACGCTCCAGGCTGCCGCCAACGGGGAACTCGAGTCCGTGGAGGTCCCTTTGAAGACGCCAATTGCCTTCTATGACAACATCTACAACTCCATAATCGTGAGTAAAATATTCCAAAATACGAAGTAGGATTGAGTCACGCGTCTTGATCAAATAGCATGACAGGGCGATAGGGCGATGGGGCGATAGGGCGATAGGACGCCGTCAGTCGTCTCTCATGGGACGGCGGGCCCAGTCGTCTCAATCTTACCTACTGGATCCAAGCGACTCTTGCGGTCGCAAGTCTCTCCGCGAGCACCCAGCAAGAGCGTGAGCGGGGAACGTCGATTTGCTAGACTTTTCAAGGTTCAAATTGGAAGGTGCATGATCTCATGGAGGAGCGTCAGCGCCAGTTAGAGTGACTTCCAGGAAGCTGAGAGTCTCATCGACTCGGTCGCGCCGTTTCCACGGGATTCTGTTACTCGAACGATCGTTAATCGCGCGCGCAATATTCGACAGTAGAAATGCCGGTTCGCACGCGCAAATGTATATATGTATATTGTATGTACACTAGGCGTTCAGGCCTGTCGGCAGTTCCATTGAACGTGAATTCATGAATCAGCCAACGAGCGACTCGTATCGTCATCATCCGCATTATCAATGAGAGACGCGAACGATACGCCGCTGCTCTCTGTCGAACTGCGGATTGAAAAGCCAAAAGCACGCAGCGAATGAAATAACGACTAACGACAAAGTTGAAGCGGGAACATTGAAAGCGAAATTTAGTTGCAACGAGAAATCCTGAGAGTTCCGTCCCACGATTGAGATCACTCTCGATGTAAACACACGTACAGCCACTCAGTCGCTCTTCTCTTCTTTTGCCATCAAGATGTCACTGTGAAAACTTGCAGCCGGACGGATAACTTTATTTTATTTTATTTCAATTGCCCCCTTATGTTTCGCTCGCATTGGCAATTGGTCGACCGATACGATTTTGAAAGACTATAGCGATCCGGAAACGGGCTAAACCGAAGTATCGGGAACAACGTTGCGTGACGTAAGAGTCGAATGGTGCAGGGGCGTTTCTATTGTCATGCAAACCTAGAAACGCTGCCTGAAAGTACGATAAGCCGTGATAAACTGATTGACATAGATACGAGGGCGATACCGAAGAAGACACGACGGTCCACTTAGAGTGCGGCTGCCTACACGACAATCATCTCCATTCTCGGTTATCCTCGGCGATTCTAGTCATCAAAATGATTGCGTCCGATTAAACACGGTTGCGTTAACGGATACAAGAGCGGTGCGTGCACATGCATCTGCGCCACACGCGTAATTCGGCCAACAACTGGGAAATCTCTAAGGTGATCATGGACCAGCGTCATTGAGACGTAGTGCCCCCAGAGTGACGAAAGTGCAATGCCTTTCTGGACGAGCAGAGTCACTATGGGCTAACGTTCATTCTTTGTAGGAAGGACGATTTCTTTCGAGGATAGGATAGAGGATTTTGAGGATTTTGAGGATTTTGAGGATTTTGAGGTCATTGGGGATATTGGGGATACGATCTTTAACCTGCCCATAAGGATGCCTCTTCTCTTGGCACTCTGTGTGAAAATAGCGTCAATATCCATTCGAGTTATTACACGAGTATATACACGGAGCGTTGTCCATCGACGTGTCTCCTATTACCTATTCTATTTTCAACGTCCTATCTCTATTCACTATATTTCTCCCCATTCATGACGACGCACCGTCACATGTGTGTGTCATTAGCTCGCTGTGACCCCTGACCTCAGATAGCCTCCTGGAGATAGTAGGCACCCACTGCTATTAGGAGTGGTAAAAGCCCAGCGAGTTGAAAAACTCGTGGAGATAGTTATTCAAAAATCGCGCAGAAAAATGACGATGTTGGAAATTAGTTTTCCAGGCAGTAAAATACGATTGAAGCAATATTTATGCTAATTTTGTTAAAAGTTACATCTTTTCTACGTCGGCATCACTTTCCAAGAGATTAATTGTACTGGCACATTGTGATAAAATTTTGTATGAATATTACTAAGCCAAATGCATTGAAGACTGCAGTCGCATGTAATTAATACTGACGATCAGGGAACTGATGCAGCTCTCAATAGTGTTGCGATTATACGGTACTTTTCTTGACAATGTATTCCTGACAACAGTAATAATTTTGTATTTTCAGAGAAGAAAAAGTTTATAGTATGCTAATTTTTATGTATAGAAAAAATGTGTTTTGAATAAACAAAATTTTATATAAATTTATTAAATGAATGTATCGTTAAAAAAAGAAATCTTACTCAAAGTATTGAAAATATTTTAATATTTTAGACTATTCCATATGTGTATGGATAGTGACGATTATTATTCTTAATCGAAGTAAAATTTAAAAATTGTTATTTTTATTCAGTGAGTAGATTGTCCACTCTCCTGATTTGGTTCTAGTCCTATACGACCGGCAGCAAAAACAGACGTGTCCGCCGATCATAACATGTGCTTCGCAATAATATTTTTAATTTTGCTTCAAAGATACAGTTTCCTTGACGCGGCATTGTAAGCTTTTTCTTAAATGCCATGAAGGGTCCTCTCCTCGTCATTATACCATACCAGGCCCTGATTATTATTTGGAGCTATCTATTAGGCCCTTATCTTCGCGCTATAAAAATTTTTACACGAGATATTGCTATAATATCTACAGAAAATGTATATCCGGACAAAATTCGTAAATACTCGTAATTACTCTTGTCACAGGTTCCCAGTCAGTTAATACATTTGTTTGTCGAAAGTATCACGATAAGAATAACAATGACAAACTCTCATGACTTGTCAAGAGAAACGCGCAAAGGAGCTGAACGATGATCACGTGCGCACGAATTCTAGTCCCATTTAGAAGTTTCGTAATTCCTCAGGAAAGGTTAATCGAGCCGAGTTCATCGAGAACCGCATGCTAGAAAGGAGGCTCCTTTTAATCGACGCGTGACACGGCCGAGTTAGATTAACCTCTCGTTAAAACAATGGGGGTCAATATTTGAGCGACCAAAGGAGCACCGATGAACTCTGTATACCGGATGTCACGACGCCTCGAGGCCGCGACGTCACGGCGCCTCGGCATTCAAATCGGTGCATTTCAATCGGCGTTAGAAATGTCTCGTATTCGAATTTTCTTGAACGAAACTCAAGTTTTCCCTCTGCGATGCGCGCAGAAGGCAACAGACCAGTGGTCGACTTGCGCACCCGCAGAAACCAATGCTAGAAGTATTACGCAGCTGCCCGATGTACAGAAGCCTTAAGCTTCTCCAGGGCTACGAAGTTTCGTCGGCGGGCGTCGCTTAATGAGACGAGTCAGGAGGAAAATTGGCTTAATACTCGTAAAGGGACAGCAGCTGTGCCTCAACGGTGGCACATTTCACATCAGCCAATTGACGAAATTATGTCTTGACGTCGCGACGTTTCTCTGCTGTCGGACGTGGAGTCGAAAGAGTCGAGCGCGGCAACGGCTCTGTTTACATAAATGTGTCAGCGTGCGTCTGCCACTCTAATGCCAGGACACGAGGAACGAGATGGGTGAATGACACGTTAGCTTGCTAGCCAGTGAATCCCTAGCTCCACAGAATCCCAGACGCGGCATAAAGGCTTCTTTCAAGTCATCCTCGAACTTCCATCGCTCGGTGAATCCTTATACCTTGCACTTCAGACTTCGTAGCATAGATAAGAAGACGAACAGCAGCAGTGTGTCGGTGCATTCCCTCGTAACTTCGTTCCTCGATTATTTGACTGTCAGTCCGCGTTTAATTTGTCCGAAAATTCGCAGGCGTTACGCGAGCATAATAATCAAAGGTTTCTTATCGATGAACGTGGCAAAAACACATTGAAGCATGCACGGCAAACGATAAGAAATCACTGAAGCAGGTCGAGTTCGTCGCAAAGTTGGATGAAATCACGAGAGTCCGGTACATCTTTCTTTTCTTTCAGGTGAACGGAAATGGCGTCCTGTCCTTCGTCAGGACGATGCAGAGATTCTTCAACATAGCCTTTCCTGTGGACGATCCTATTATCGCACCCCTGTACACGCACGTGGACACCAGAGCTTCCGGCAGAGTCTACTACGGCGAGAGCAACTCCGGCGACGTCCTCAGCCGAGCCGGCGAGACCGTCAGAAGGTCCTTTAAGGACTTCCAGGACTTCGAACCCTCGCACGTTTTCATCGTGACCTGGTTGGACGTCGGATACTACAATGAGAAGAGCGATCATGTCAGTTGAGCAGAGCACACGCCTTCTAGCTTCAGGAAGCTGGGTACTTGACAATTATCACGACTACATCGCTAATGCGTCCTGATTGTTCGTCCAGGTCAACAGCTATCAAGTAGTAATCTCCTCGAACGGTACGCACTCGTTCGTCGAGCTTCTCTATCCCGAGGGTGGCATCCGGTGGATACAGGCGATTCCCCAACCCAATGGGCTTCCCGATGCGAAGGCGCAGGCAGGCTTGATGAGTGGCGGGAAAGTCTACACCCTCAAAGGCTCGGGCACCGATAGGATCGAATATATTGAAAAGTGGTCGAACATCAACGAGCCCGGGAAGTGGGTCTTCCACGTTGGTCCCATTGCCGGCGACGAAAACATAAAAATTCCGGATAACATTGACGGTACTCTTTCTCCTTTCTCCTTTCTCCTTTTAATAGAGACGGGGTTTAGGGGTATTTGTTAGGAAATAGTGATGGCTCACACGGGGAAGATCTCTTTGTACAGAAGTCGCAGCGACCAACGAGGCGCCGAGCTGTCAGACGGATTCGACGAGGTGCCACACGAAGGCGCACTGCATCGATCACGAGGTCGGATTCTGCTGCGTTTGCAAGGACGGCTTCTTCGGCAATGGAAAGTCTTGTCAACCTAACGGTAAGCTGCGACACCCTTGTTCGGAAGGAATTGCAATGTTGACTCGGTAAATGGCAAAGAGAGGCACGCCGCGCGCCCGTGGTGCCAACCACGAAAGTTCCCTCTGATCTATTCATAGTTTACGACGCACGTGCTCCTCTTACGACTTCCTCGGGGGCCTCGTAAACCGCTACACGACGTCTGTCAAATGGGCCATGCGCCATGGGCCATGGGCCATGGGCCGTGGACCCCTTTGAGACAACAAGACACAGGAGTGCTTTGTAGCTCCTTATCGTCTGTCTCCATCCTCCTACGTGGGCGCCATCGTGCAATTACTCGTTCGCAAGACACGTACCCAAGCAATGCAGCCAATCCATTCGCTATTCAACTATATCGATTCAACCCTCAAAGTTTAAATCGGGCAAATTTTGTGCCGTCCCAATTATTCAGGCCTAACCCGTACAGGATTTTCCCTCAGAGTAGGACCATCTTTCAGATGTGCCATTGCGGATTCTCGGCATCATGTCCGGTTCCATTAACGACGTGGAATTCGAAAGTAGACATCTGCAATCTTACGTCCAGACGAAGGACGGCAGAACCTATACTGCTCTGACAAACTTACCGCACCCCCTGGAATCCAGCTTCCAGCTGGTGGGTGTCATGGGCGAGGTTATCGGATGGTTGTTCGCAAAACCTATCGGTGATGCCAGAAATGGATACCAGTTGACAGGTAAGAATGAAAATGAATTATATGAAAGGAGTTTGCGAAGGGCAAGTATCCTGGAAGGGCAAATCGGTTCCACAGGTGGCGTCTTCAACCACACCGTCAACATCTTCTTTGAAAGAAGCGGCGAGAGGCTGACCATCCAAACGAATTACCTGGGACTGGACGTCTTCGGTCAACTGAAGATGGAGGCTCAGATGCGAGGGAACCTTCCGGTTCTACCCGAGAACGCCACCATCCTCTTCGAGGATTACGAGGAGCTGTACATGAAGACTGACAGTGGCAAGATTACGTCTCAGAGCAACAGAGTATACAAATTCCGGGACGTATCCGGGGACGAGTATCCCTTCGTCACGGATCAGATCATCACCTATCAGGAGTGTGACTACGCCCCGCATGAACCTGAGGAGAATAAGGTCATCCTAAAATTCTCGAGAGGCGTGATAAACTACGATAAGACCGAAGTTATTGTTCGCTTTGGATTGAACACGAAAATCGCCTATTTTGGTAAGGACGACCTCTGCGTCCTGGAAAAGGATAGATGCGGCGAGCACAGCACCTGCGTCGTCGATGCGGAAGGAGATGACATAAAATGCATCTGCAATCCTGGGTAGAGAAAACTTGAGCATATTTTTCGTGTTCTTTAACGCTTCAACTTCCGTCTTTATTTTCTCAGGTACCAAAGCGTGTACGTTGGGGTAAATATTTGTGAGGACATTGACGAGTGCGACACTGGAAGACATTTCTGTTCACGCGATTCCATATGCCTTAACAACGAGGGAAGCTACATCTGCGTCTGCAAAGAGGGCTATTCTTTCGATGGTCTAGCTTGTCAAAGTAGGTGATGCACGTCGCACGTTGCGATGCTTCCTGTACCGATTTTATATTTTGCTTCTTCTTGCAGAGCTACCCAGCTGCGAGGATGGCGAGTGCAACGAGGAAGAGAGCAGTCTCAGACCAACCGAGGAAGTTAATCGAGAGCGTAAGTGAGAGAGGAACTGAATGGAGGAAAGTTTGAAAGTCCGAAAAAGTGCACGCGTTCTCTATTTGCACTGCAACATTAGAATTAATGACAGAATGCGAACACAGTAGGATCTTACTAGGAATGTGCGAGCGTAGCAAAGACTCTGACTCGCACGAGCTGCGCACGCGATTAGTGTAGCGCTGGCAGTAGTGTTATCATGATCGTTATCAAGTTATGATCGTTGTTCAATTATCAATTGGACGGACTAACTAATGCTGAATTTCTGCATCATGCATTCTAGTATCAGCGATCCCGATCCCGAATTGTTTGGAGGATCGATGCGTGTGTCCCCCGGGATACGATTTCGACAGCCACGCGGAAATTTGCGTTCCTCTGACAGGATACAACCACGAGACGATGGGTCCTTCAGGCTCACAATGTACGAGTCCACATGTGCACGGAGCTTCGAAGCTTCATATTATTTCTTCCAATTTCAATTCATCTAATTATTTAACATCATCGTATCGACTAACCAAATACGTACGCATACATAGATTATGTATCCACAAGGTTTCGCATGTCGCTCCATGGGCTCCATGGGCTCCATGGGGATGCCATACCCGCTGTTTACTTTTTCAATTGACACGCTTTTTCATTTTTTTTCTTTTGCATTTCTCGCTCATTCTCCAACTCGCATAAGCGTCTCTGCTAATAATACATATCCATGCTTGTTCAGTACCTTGTGACGTGGTGAACACGTGTCACCCGTACGCTCAGTGCCTCCAGGTCGACTACAGTGGACAATACGAGTGCGTATGCAATCCGGGATACGAAGGCGACGGTCTAGAGTGCATCAAGCCAGGTATGAGATTTTACTGACTGCGCCGCCTGATCTTCCAGATCGCGTCCGGTGACTTTCTATAATATAAGAGCGAACTGCAAAACGAGCTTAATTAAAAATCGTGCACCTGGCCTAACGTAGCCGCATGGCTGACTGATCCTTGAACAGAAGTATCCTGCCTGGAGGTGGACACCTGCGATCCCAACGCTTCCTGTCAGCACGAGGAACCACTGGCCAAATGCGTCTGCAATCCAGGATACACAGGAGACGGCTCGACCTGCAATCCAATCGGTGCTCAGAGAACTTTAACTCTTTCCCATTTTCTTTTTCGTCCAACAGATTTCTGGCGAAATATCAATTACACGATAAGTCGAGTTCCCAGAGCCACGTGCCCTCCTTTACGAAGATCTTCTCTTTCTCAGCCGAATGCTCGGGCAACTCCGACTGCGAAGAGCCCGAAACGTGCAATTACAATCCGGAGAACTCGCGGTACGAGTGTACCTGCGACCCGGAGATCTGCGGATCCTCCACTCCCGACTGCTCCATGAACTCCTCCCTCTGTCACCCGAACGCACAGTGCATCCCGACGGACGAGGGCAGTCACGCCTGCACGTGCATCACTGGCTACAGAGGCGACGGCGTCCGTCAGTGCGAACGGGAACACTTGAATTGCGATTTCTACGAGAGGAGCTGCAATCCGAACGCGGCTTGCGTTTATCTGACTCATCTGAATGATTACGGCTGCGTGTGCCAGGAGGTGAGTGACGGAGGAGAGTTGGCGCAGAGCACGTAGAGTCTCCGGGATGTCGGCTGCAATTTGAAGCACGAACTAATTTCTTTTTCAGGATTATGAAGGTGACGGATTCAACTGCTACCCGAAATACACGTGCGCCCGAGATCCAAGTATTTGCTCTCCGGATGCCAGTTGCGTAATAACCGCAAACAATGTCTACGCTTGCGTCTGCGACGACGGGTTCATTGGAAATGGCACGCAGTGCAGAAGGATCCCGAAGCACGATGCCAACATTCTTTTGGTGAATCAAGGGATGACTATACACAGGATACCATTCGTCCCTAGTCCGTCCAATCCAGGAACTCCAATTTACATTCACTACAAGCAGATGGCTGTCGCCATAGATATCGACTGTATATCCGGAATAGCATATTCGAGTGACATTAGCGGTAAGACCGTCATCACGACGGAGACGCTTAAGAAGGCCGTGGCAGCTATTTTGCAGCTTGACAATTTTATTGCAGGATCAAAAATTTCGGCTTTTCTTTATAATGGCACTCTGCTCGAGACTTTCCTTTCTGATATCAACGGGGCCGAAGGACTCTCGGTGGATTGGGTCGCGAGAAACATCTACTGGACCGATTCGATCAAGAAGACTGTCGAAGTGGCAAACCTGAACACCAAGAAACGAAAGGTCCTGGTCGACGAAGGTCTCATGAACCCTAGAGGAATGGCGGTTCATCCGTACAGAGGGTAAGAGAGGTTCCACGCAAGCCCCTCGATTTACAAAATATGCTTTAACAAAATACGAAAATTTGTCAGGAAAATCTTCTGGTCGGACTGGTATCGGGCAGCACCGAAATTGGAATGGGCCAATGCGGATGGCACCGAGCGTGAGATCTTCCTCCGAGGCGAACACGTCGCGCTACCGAATTCCTTAAGCATCGATTGGGCGACTGATGAACTCTGTTGGGCAGATGCTGGTCAACTCGCAATAAGTGAGTCATTAGACTGTGTAGGAATTCCTTAGTTCCACCCCTTCACTTTCTCGCGGGATTAATGCTCTACTTTCTGCCTTCCTACCCTGCAATTAATTCTCTTTAGCGATTTAATTCTCTGACTTCAGACTGCGCCCAGATTGACGCGAGAACAGTACGCGTTGTCATTGCTGGATTGTCTTATCCTTTCGGATTGGCCATCTCGCAGAATCATTACTACTGGACTGACTGGAAGACGTAAGTTGTCATTAATAATGGAGACATCAGTGGGACTTGAGTTTACTTGTATTTTGCAGGCCAACCGTCGAAGTTGCTAGAAAGAGTTCTGGCCTACTTTCTTCTCCATTGTCAATTCCACCAGGAGGAACAGGAAAAATATACGGAATCGTGGCGGTGCCGGAAGTCTGTCCTCAAGGTAGAGTATTCACTAACACTTCAAAAATGCGAATAAATATTCATTACAAATATTGCAGTATCGAACGTTTGTCAGTACCAAGATGGTGGATGCAACAAGGAACAGCTTTGTCTTCCTGACGGAAAAGGAGGAAGAACATGCGCCTGCGCGGACGATGCTTCGGGCCCCTGTCAGGATTCGTAGAAGATCTCTGTGTCGCCATGAATAATAATACGGTGCGGGGAACTCCTCTCGCTATTTTCAAAACTTCAGAAGGAGTGAATTTGTCAAACTGATTTCTGCTTCTTCAACTTTTCAAATGGAAGGACTCACATCTCTAGCGATATCAGAAAAAGAACGTCAAAGTACACGTAATCATTTCAAGGAGCATCACCAGTCAAAGAGGATCTAGAAGTAGAGCTTGCAGCGTTACTCTAGTTATTAATATTAACGTTAGTCTCATATAACAATACATATTCTTATGTTGCAACGAACAAACAGTAATTTAAGTCAAACACGAAGTTCACTTTGCATAACCCATTATCTTTCAATTTCCACTTCTTCGTGATCAGTGATCACTATTTTTTCTACTGTAGTATAACAAATGGTACTAATTAAATTTAATGTTTTTCTGCCGCATTAAGACAACTGAAAAATAAAATACGATGTAATTGAAAATATAGCACAAATCAGTCAGACCTACTCTCAGCAGAAGAGGCATACCAGTCTCACATTTTTGATTGGTCGATATTGGTGGACATATATGTATATATAGTAACGCTACGCGTGATATTCGCGACAGAGATGAATAGGGAGATGCACAATGCTACGATTTTAGGCGATACCAAAATCATGGAGCTAAATCGTAGCGGCGAGTCTGGAAGTAGGAT